ATTAGGAATAATTGATATGAGAGTCTAAAGCAATATGTTTTTGAAAGCCAAACACAAAATCTGTCGTTAGCATTGTTCTGGTTCGCGGTGCGTTGTAAAGCATGAAATCTCCTCGTTTTTCGAATATTACATTGGAAAATATAGCGAGGGGCAACAATGGGGGAATTAGTGACGATGTTAATTCCGCCGAAACTATTCCTTCTTTCTCTCGGCGCTTTAACATCCGTTCATTAGTCAGATATTGCCTTTAAATAATAGTTTGTTTTCGATATGTAACTGAAAATTAATCATGGATGAAATTAGTCGGTGTAAGAATGGCCTGAAATGAGGCCTTTAATGAGCCCGACTGAGCAAACAGCAGACACCACGGAGAAGCGGACCTTCAGCTCATGCTTTTGTTTTCTTTAGAAAATCTGTCAATTTATGAAATATAGCAGGCTTATGATGTTGAGGAACTTGTTACTATCAATCAGGGGCCTTTATTCGGAAACTAAACTGGCTCGCGACTGCACAATCAGCGTCGGGAGCATCACTCGATGGAGCGAGCTTGTACTTTGTGTCAACGACCCCAGACAATTGCTCAGTCGCAAATCAGGCATTGATTTTCACTCCAGTGCCATTTGCACGCTTTTACAGTCTCTTTTTATAAGAAAAAATCTTCAATATCTAATCGCTTTAGTCTCTCCTCTTCGGAAGAGCCCATTGTGATATCAGTTAAATTAACGGCGAAGTCTCCAGCATGAACAATCGTCGTCTTGGACAGGTGTCCGCTCTCGAGGGTTGATGCGACCATGTGACGCACCACGTGATCCAAATACCGCTAAGATGTCTTGGAGGGGGTCAAGAAGGCGCATGACGTCATCACCATTGTTACGAAAACTCGAATTCATGTTATTGTTTCTAGCATCTATATACACCTGAAACCTCTTATTAAAGTTTTCAATGGATAATTTTTACCGTTATGGATAATTTTTGTAATTTGACCGTAGTTGAAACCACAGTTATGAGGTATATTTGTGAATTCATGAAATGATGAGATTTTATTACAATAATATATGACTGCAATATTGTCCTAATATGTAATTAATATAGTGAATTTGTTGGCTTACTGGCATGTTATGGAATGACGTCACATAATATTACAATTTGCGAATACAATCTGTTTCCTGATAAATTGAATCAATCATATAATTCATGCAATAAAAATATTGAAACATATAATCCTTAACCAATTAATTAATCAATTAATTATTGACTACAAAACAGACAAATAATTATATTATTTAATACACGGAACTGTGACGGAAACTATATATAGTGTTGTATCAAATACCGTTATTATACATCACTGTGACCTGAAAGCAACAAACATTTGTTATGTCTAGTCCATATAATAAAATAGGTAAAAATTTCATAATTGCGGCAGTGTCTTATATAAAATCATAGTGCTTGTTTGAAAAACACAATTGTGCAAACGTGTTTTCGTTGATAAAACACGCACATATTCCCTCAGCTAAAATAGAAAATTACTTGTTTTACAAAATAATGAAATGGGTATAATTCTTAAATTAAGAGTTCGAGCTAAAACAAATGGACATTGGAAATGATACCAGTAACACATGTAGTTATTCGAGGCCATTATTTGCCTGTGTTTATTTGAACGTTTCGGACTTGACGTGACCCAGCTGTAATAGAAGCGAACATTTGATAAACTGCGCGAGTAAATCAGCTTACGATATGTCGACACCTGGGTTAAAAACCTTTGCTATGAGGATTCCGAGCCCTGCTGTGAAGCTTTCCGATCGAGGTAATCATTTCACCTGAGTCAAACACATTAAACGGTCGAGCGCGTCGCGTGGCGGCGTCACACACCGTGGGTAATGTACAATAACACGCAGACAAGCGGTGCAGCGGGATCACAGGGCGACTATGGTCGCCTACAGCACCAGATGAGTAATGAAATGAGGGGACTGTCATTCTGTGATGGACACATCACAACATTCTCGGTATAGCGTCAAGAGTGTGACGTTGCCATCTGGACGGTATAACGGTTGTAGGACAAGACTAGAGACCACGCTCCTGGATTTAAACAGATGGGGAATTAATTCGCAAATATTGCTGCGGCTACCGCTGACAATAAAGACAGTTGTAGAGAGACATAAAACAAAGAAAACGACCCCATATAGAAGTCGTCGGTGTGTAGTCGCAGCCCGTTTGCTTGTTTAGTCATACTACGTAACCCTTTTGGTTGATGTAATGTGTCCATCTCTGATTGCTTCATTTTAATTGAAGAGCTATTAGACGTAACTACATTGTATGAATGACTCTAGGATTAACATCTTAATGACGACGAGAGAGGCCAGTGGTTAAAGCGTTCGCTAAGCACTTATTCACATATTTGGGTGGGTGTTCTGGGTTGCCTATGATGTATCTTTGTAAAGTTTCGATAATACTTTGATGATAAAAGATACAAGTAAAAGATAAGAAATTATTGAGAAGTAATCTCTATGCGTCCATCGTACAATTCGTTTAAGAAACTCATTTTAACTTTGTACTTCAAGTGGGTATGTGTGTAGACTTGGTACCGAGTTACTGTAGGTGACCATGGAGTTCCTTGCTGTTACAGTAGATGACATCTTGAGTTCCTTAAGGTGTGTAACATCTTAGTTACTGACACCTGATGACAGTTACAAGGTGACACCTGATGTCACACTCCCTAGTTACAAAGGTGACACTAAAACCTACCTCATGTCACTCCTAGTTCACAGTAGGTGACACTAAAGCTACCTGATGTCACACTCCTAGTTACAGTAGGTGACACTAAAGCTACCTGATGTCACACCCCTAGTTACAGTAGGTGACACTAAAGCTACCTGATGTCACACTCCTAGTTACAGAAGGTGACACTAAAGCTACCTGATGTCACTCCCCTAGTTACAGTAGGTGACACTAAAGCTACCTGATGTCACTCTCCTAGTTACAGTAGGTGACACTAAAGCTACCTGATGTCACACTCCTAGTTACAGAAGGTGACACTAAAGCTACCTGATGTCACGCTCCTAGTTACAGTAGGTGACACTAAAGCTACCTGATGTCACACTCCTAGTTACAGTAGGTGACACTAAAGCTACGCTCCTAGTTACAGAAGGTGATGTCCTGATGTCACGCTCCTAGTTACAGTAGGTGACACTAAAGCTACCTGATGTCACTCTCCTAGTTACAGAAGGTGACACTAAAGCTACCTGATGTCCTAGTTACAGAAGGGTGACACTCCTGATGTTACAGTTGGGTGACACTAAAGCTACCTGATGTCACACTCCTAGTTACAGTGGGTGACACTAAAGCTACCTGATGTCACTCTCCTAGTTACAGTGGGTGACACTAAAGCTACCTGATGTCACGCTCCTAGTTACAGTAGGTGACACTAAAGCTACCTGATGTCACGCTCCTAGTTACAGAAGGTGACACTAAAGCTACTTGATGTCACGCTCCTAGTTACAGAAGGTGACACTAAAGCTACTTGATGTCACGCTCCTAGTTACAGTGGGTGACACTAAAGCTACCTGATGTCACGCTCCTAGTTACAGTAGGTGACACTAACACTCCTAGCTGACACTAAAAACTTGATGTCACTCTCCTAGTTACAGAAGGTGACACTAAAGCTACCTGATGTCACACTCCTAGTTACAGAAGGTGACACTAATGCTACTTGATGTCACACTCCTAGTTACAGTGGGTGACACTAAAGCTACCTGATGTCACACTCCTAGTTACAGTGGGTGACACTAAAGCTACCTGATGTCACGCTCCTAGTTACAGAAGGTGACACTAAAGCTACCTGATGTCACTCTCCTAGTTACAGAAGGTGACACTAAAGCTACCTGATGTCACTCTCCTAGTTACAGAAGGTGACACTTAAGCTACCTGATGTCACTCTCCTAGTTACAGAAGGGACACTAAAGCTACCTGATGTCACTCTCCTAGTTACAGAAGGGACACTAAAGCTACCTGATGTCTCACTTCTAGCTACAGACGGTGACACTAAAGCTACCTGATGTCACGCTCCTAGTTACAGTAGGTGACACTAAAGCTGCCTGATGTCACACTCCTAGTTACAGAAGGGACACTAAAGCTACCTCATGTCACACTCCTAGTTACAGAAGGTGACACTAAAGCTACCTGATGTCACACTCCTAGTTACAGAAGGTGACACTAAAGCTACCTGATGTCACACTCCTAGATACAGCAGGTGACTCTAAAGCTACCTGATGTCACGCTCCTAGTGACAGAGATGACACTAAAGCTACCTGATGTCACTCTCCTAGTTACAGAAGGTGACACTGGTTACAGAAGGTGACACTAAAGCTACCTGATGTCACACTCCTAGTTACAGAAGGTGACACTAAAGCTACCTGATGTCACACTCCTAGTTACAGAAGGTGACACAAAGCTACCTGATGTCCTAGTTACAGAAGGTGACCTAGTTACCAGAAGGTGACACTAAAGGTGACACTACCTGATGTCACACTCCTAGTTACAGAAGGTGACACTAAAAAGCTACCTAGTTGATGTCACTCTCCTAGTTACAGGTGAAGCTACTTGACACTAAAGCTACCTCATGTCACACACACTCCTAGTTACAGAAGGTGACACTAAAGCTACCTGATGTCACTCTCCTAGTTACAGTGGGTGACACTAAAGCTACCTCATGTCACACTTACCTAGTTACAGAAGGTGACACTAAAGCTACCTCATGTCACTCTCCTAGCTACAGAAGGTGACACTAAAGCTACCTCATGTCACACTCCTAGTTACAGAAGGTGACACTAAAGCTACCTCATGTCACACTCCTAGTTACAGAAGGTGACACTAAAGCTACCTGATATCACATTCCTAGTTACAGAAGGTGACACTAAAGCTACCTGAAGCTAGTTACAGTAAGTAACACTAAAGGTACTTGATGTCAAACCCCTAGTTACAGAAGGTGACACTACATAATGTCACACCCTAGTTACAGGGGTTGACACTGGAGCTACATAAATGTTGTTAAAGTTGACACTTGAGCTGATATATCCCGGGTTCCTGCAGGAGCTGAAACTTCCCAGGTTATTGTAGGTGTTCGTGGAGCTGAAACCTCTCAGGTTATTGTAGGTGACCGTGGAGCTGAAACCTCTCAGGTTATTGTAGGTGTTCGTGGAACTGAAACCTCTCAGGTTATTGTAGGTGACCGTGGAGCTGAAACCTCTCAGGTTATTGTAGGTGTTCGTGGAGCTGAAACCTCTCAGGTTATTGTAGGTGACCGTGGAGCTGAAACCTCTCAGGCTATTGTAGGTGTTCGTGGAGCTGAAACCTCTAAGGTTATTGTAGGTGACCGTGGAGCTGAAACCTCTCAGGTTATTGTAGGTGTTCGTGGAGCTGAAACTTCTCAGGTTATTGTATTTGTTCGTGGTGGCTGAAACCTCTCAGGATATTGTAGGTGTTCGTGGTGCTGAAACCTCTTAGGTTATTGTAAGTGACCATGGAGCTCAAACCTCCCAGGTTATTGTAGGTGTTCGTGGAGCTGAAACTTCTCAAATTATTGTAGGTGACCGTGGAGCTGAAACTTCTCCACTTATTGTAGGTGACCGTTGAGCTGAAACTTCCCAGGTTATTGTAGGTGTTCGTGGTGCTGAAACCTCTCAGGTTATTGTAGGTGACCATTGAGCTGAAACCTCCCAGGTTATTGTAGGTGTTCGTGGAGCTGAAACTTCTCAAATTATTGTAGGTGACCGTGGAGCTGAAACTTCTCCACTTATTGAAGGTGACCGTGGAGCTGAAACCTCTCCACTTATTGTAAGTGACCGTGGGGCTGAAACTTCTCAACTTATTGTAGGTGACCTCGGAGCTGAAACTTCTCAGCTTATTGTAAGTGACCGTGGAGCTGAAACTTCTCAGCTTATTGAAGGTGACCGTGGAGGTGAAACTTCTCCACTTATTGTAAGTGACCGTGGAGCTGAAACCTCTCAGGTTATTGTAGGTGTTCTTGGTGCTGAAACTTCTCAGCTTATTGTAGGTGACCGTGGGGCTGAAACTTCTCAGGTTATTGTAGGTGACCGTGGAGCTGAAACTTCTCCACTTATTGTAGGTGACCGTGGAGCTGAAACCTCTCAGGTTATTGTAGGTGTCCGTGGAGCTGAAACCTCTCAGGTTATTGTAGGTGTTCGTGGAGCTGAAACTTCTCAGGTTATTGTAGGTGACCGTGGTGCTGAAACCTCTCAGCTTATTGTAGGTGACCGTGGAGCTGAAACCTCTCAGGTTATTGTAGGTGTTCGTGGAGCTGAAACTTCTCAGGTTATTGTAGGTGACCGTGGAGCTGAAACCTCTCAGGTTATTGTAGGTGACCGTGGAGCTGAAACCTCTCAGGTTATTGTAGGTGTTCGTGGTGCTGAAACCTCTCAGGTTATTGTAGGTGACCTGCTGAAACCTCTCAGGTTATTGTAGGTGTTCGTGGAGCTGAAACTTCTCAGGTTATTGTAGGTGACCGTGGAGCTGAAACCTCTCAGGTTATTGTAGGTGTTCGTGGAGCTGAAACCTCTCAGGTTATTGTAGGTGTTCTTGGAGCTGAAACTTCTCAGGTTATTGTAGGGTGACCTCGGAGTGGAGCTGTAAACCGTGGAGCTGAAACTTCTCAGGTTATTGTAGGTGACCGTGGAGCTGAAACCTCTCAGGTTATTGTAGGTGACCGTGGAGCTGAAACCTCTCAGGTTATTGTAGGTGTTCGTGGTGCTGAAACCTCTCAGGTTATTGTAGGTGACCGTGGTGCTGAAACCTCTCAGGTTATTGTAGGTGTTCGTGGAGCTGAAACCTCTCAGGTTATTGTAGGTGACCATGGAGCTGAAACCTCCCAGGTTATTGTAGGTGTTCGTGGAGCTGAAACTTCTCAAATTATTGTAGGTGTCCTTGGAGCTGAAACTTCTCCACTTATTGTAGGTGACCGTTGAGCTGAAACCTCCCAGGTTATTGTAGGTGTTCGTGGAGCTGAAACTTCTCAAATTATTGTAGGTGACCGTGGAGCTGAAACTACTCCACTTATTGAAAGTGACCGTGGAGGTGAAACTTCTCAACTTATTGTAGGTGACCGTGGAGCTGAAACCTCTCATGTTATTGTAGGTGTTCGTGGAGCTGAAACTTCTCAGGTTATTGTAGGTGACCGTGGAGCTGAAACTTCTCCACTTATTGTAGGTGACCGTGGAGGTGAAACTTCTCAAATTATTGTAGGTGACCGTGGAGCTGAAACTCTCAAATTATTGAAGGTGACCGTGGAGCTGAAACCTTCTCAAGTTATTGAAGGTGACCGTGGAGCTGAAACCTCTCAAGCTATTGAAGGTGACAGTGGAGGTGAAACTTCTCAACTTATTGTAGGTGACCGTGGTGCTGAAACTTCTCAGCTTATTGTAGGTGACCGTGGGGCTGAAACTTCTCAACTTATTGTAGGTGACCGTGGAGCTGAAAGTTCTCAAGTTATTGTAGGTGTTGGTGGAGCTGAAACTTCTCCACTTATTGTAGGTGACCGTGGAGCTGAAACTTCACAAGTTATTGTAGATGACCGTGGAGCTCCATGATGTCACATATGGATACTGTTTCAGGAAATGCTACACAAGCTACGAGATGTGACATGCCTGGTCGCATTAGGTGATACTGGATCTATAGGAGCTTGAGATTCTTGACATTACGAATCACACGGCTCATTCCAACACCTATGCATATAAACACTGCACATTTTAGCAACTATTTCTTATGGATCTAACAAAAGGTTTTGACGCTTATATTTTTGTACAGGAACTTCTATTTTGACACATGGCCTTATAGTTGTATACAGGACCATGATAACAGCCAATGTTCATGGATAGCAAGGGTACACTAGTTTGTCGCACAGATGGTCGGAGATATCTCAGTTTGTTTGAGAAGGGCCTCGGGACTACCACTTATGGGTATATTGAAGCTGTGCTTAATGTAATTCAGAACTGAAGAGGTTAAATAGAAAGCAATAACAATTGGAAATCTAATAAAATCTGCCACAGTATAATTTTTGGGAACCTGAATTGAAGTTGATTAAAAGGAACAGAATGGCAGATTTTTTGGTTTAAAGTTGTGAACTTGACAATAATCAAGTCACGAACTCTGGTCACGTGCCTAAAGAACGCTGGTCAAGAGCACTGCACCTGGCCTTCACCTTGGATCATGGCAAGGTCCTCATTAAGACGCCCATTCTGACACCTTTTTGTGTTATTTCATCTCTCTTTAATCAAAGTCAACTGACCAGGTTCCGTTTGTAGGGGAATTTCGTGCTCACGAGAAATGTCGCGAGATGTTCGCGTGTCACCCGAGAAGAGTCAGTGACCTTGAGGTTAACTGTCACGTGGCTGCATTCATACTCCCTCCTTCGCGACTGTTTTCATTTGTCTTGAAATGACCGGGTAGATCTTGAAACCGACAAAATACAAATACGATCAGTCAGTTATAACCCTCCCACTTCACGTCCGCCATGTCCAAGCGTCTGCTGATGCGATACAGTAGCCAGCTGAAACCAAGGCTTGAACTCTTCACCCTCTTCAGGATGGACCTTCAGGAAATAAGAAGAAGTCAAACTCGGCTTCGTAATGCTTTATGTTTATTCTCATGTCCTAATTGATATTTATTTGGATCGACCACTCAATTTTGGGAATGTTGTCTTCCTCGGTTAAAAATATAACTGCAGGTATAAAGAAAGTATAGACTTGAAAACTGGATCATGCCAAAACAAAAACGTTGTAAGCAGTGTGTGAAATAAGCCAAAAATCCAGCCAGACATCAGGGCTGGTAACTTCAAAATGTAACCAGCCCAAAATGGATTTAACCAGACCAAATATGGTGAATTTACTCTGATGTATGGAACATCTAAAAAATTTACCAGACCATCGGGCTGGCTAGCTGTAAATTCAGACCGTCCGTCAGAAATCTAGACCGTCTCGGGCGGTCGGACGGGCCTTATTTCATACACTGTTGTTAGGCTGAAAACATTATCAGTAGATACACAAACACAACCTTAAACACGTACCAAGTTCATCACCACCTTATTAACACTTCTTGTTCATGTCTTCTTAGCTACCATATTATCTTTCTTTTTCCCGAAAGTTTTTTGGTGTTTGGTTACACTTTCTAAATATGCATTTCACTAATACATTGCATAACTACGTTGTAGGGATCGGCTTAATTTCCTTGTAATGTCTAATTGTTGATAGTTCATAAATAATTTCCGTGACATGTTTGCACTTTTCGCGAACACCAACTCTCATCGCTGATTTTCAGTGGTCCAATGACACGATTTCAAGGAGCTATTTTGCCCCCTACACCAAATAAAGTCTAATAAATAAAGTGAAAACTGGGTATTCTTTTCCTCCGACCTTAATATTTCATAATGCAATTAAATATAGTTATGTATTTAATATGTGTCCTTTGTCTCGATTTATTCAGTTTCACGGATAATGATTAGATTCTATACTCGCTTTAATATTAGGTATTAAAAGAAGGTTAACTAAAAACTAAATGATATTTTCATATGAGATATATAATGTACATCTACTCCAGTACGCAAGTTGCCTTTATTCTGAACCACGAAAAAGTGAAAGACCATCAGATTCTGTCATATTACTATAGTTAATCTGTAGTATTCATTTAATACATTATTTGACATGATTAAGTGATGAAAGGTGTATTTACCACTGACGTTGCTTCCTCTGGACAATATGGATGAAGTGTTCGTGACTGAAGCACGTGTCATACCAAGGATGCTTTCAAGAACTGCGTCCAATACATTCCTTCCGCAACACATCCCCAGAACGAAGACAATGATTTATTATACAGCATCCACACAACACGCTAGTATAAACAACATTCCACACAACAAATTGCCATTGTTACAAAACAAACTGGTTATATGTATTTGTCCGGGGAGAGCGGCACCCCACCCGGCACCCTACCCGTTACGGCCCCCACACTCACTGTCCGCCTCCATCTGTCCCCGCACGCTTCTCGCCATCAGCCGGAGCTATCACATATCACCTTCACACCTTCTCCGCAGAATTTACAAGTCTCGAGAAATAGCATTTGCATGTAATATCGAAAAAAGGTATTGCAAATATTTGTAAAGGCTAATGGATGAGTTGGATTGAATGTCTGTTCGCTTTCCCACCTCCTTGCCTATCTGTAGAGTGGGCTAAGAGTTTACTGAGGACCTGATCGCGCTCTCCACATTGTCATACCGGTTTGACAAACATCAAACACTTGAGATCTGTAATCTACAACCTACTTCTCTACCGTAATGGCAGAGTAAGGTAGCCGCACCCGCTTGCGACAAACCAGGGCTTCTCACGTTGGTCGGGTGGCCTAATATATAGTTAGCATCTCGCGATAAGCTACAAGGACCCGGTAATGGATATTTGTCGTTGAGGATGCGAAAGTCGCTGAATGAAAGCCCTCATCCTTACTCCCGAGTGAGATGGTCACTTAGCCACCAAGTCATCACGATTCTACCGGGTGTCCCAGTAAATGGCTACAATCTACACAATATCTCATAAGAGCGATGATTGATACTAATGTGCCATTATCGCCTGGAGTTTCCATATCTGCTAGTCCCCTGTGGTAGCACCGCGGGCTCTTTAACACCTGGCCAGGTAACAGCGTCTGTAACGAGCAGGTAGGAGAATCAATACCCGCCGTGTATCACCGCACAGTCGTCACATGCTCTATTACACACTTACGACCGCGTACAATTGCCGTTAAATACCTTGTAAACTTCCTTGATTTTTATATTTTTTCTCTTTATCGCATTCAATTACATTAAGGCGAGTCATCTCTGGTTGAAACTCAAATAAATATCATATGTGTATGTACAGCTACATTAAAAGATCCAGCAAATGATTTGCTACTTTACCATTAAGAAATTGCGAGTGGAACGTTTGCTTTTTTTGTTGCAATAAATCTGGAATGAAAGGCGGGCATGGTCTGATCGTGGACAATGGCTAACACCTTTATCAACGTGTGTGAATAGGTATCATTGGAAACCAGATACGTCCTAACAGATGGTAATATTAAGAATTCAAGTACTATTTTACGCAGTGGAGGTGTAAAGTGTTTCTTCCGCATTATGGCTGATGTCTGTTCACGAAACACCGCCCTTTATGAGATCTCTTTGATATTAGCAAATGTGGGGTCTGTCGATATTTTGCTGTTTTGAAAGATTCAATGAACTGTCTGCTTTTGAAGATTCACACTTATAATATTTTATGCTCACGTTAGTCGTACTAATGCGAAATGGATTTACACGTACAACGACAAAGGGGAAATCGTGAATACCCAAATGAAAAATTAATATCTTGACAATGATTCAATATTTTAAAAAAAACAAACAAAGACAGTATTTTGTGTATTATTTATTCTTGAAAATTAGATTGTGTGATCGTCCTTCTGTTGTCCAAAAGAAAAGTCCAACGTCTGAAACAGTGATACGCTCTGTGATTAAGAAAAGGGAACGCTTACAAAGAGAAACAAGGGGAGAGCACAGAGCCCTGGCACAGACAAACTGAAGACGTCTACCAGCACCATTGACCTCGCCTTGCTACTATCATATTTCTCATCATATCCAAGAAGCCCAAAATTATTTTGCATGTATCTTTTCGTAGTTATATAGCCTGTTCTCCTTTCTCTTATACATCATCTCAGATATTTTGTACGCTACATTACAAAGTAGTTTGATGATATTTAAATTGCTCCTAACTGGGGATAACGTTCTGCAGGAAACATCCCTTTTTATCTGATATTGTCATTTAGCAACATTAAACAATTTGCAAATAAAAAAATAAATGAATTAAAGGAGCAATATTTTGGAGATAATTTTTTAAAGAAATGTATCGTTTTGGTAAAACACGTCAAAAAATAATGTTAATATCTTTCAATGAGTGTTTATTCTAGAAATGTCTGAGTATTTGGTGACACTATACGGGATGCTGCTTCTCGATAGTTCCAGTTCCATGTCGCCTGACGCTCGCTCTTGTAATCCGGCAGGCTCTTTAACCACACCGGTATCGCTGTCAGGTGCGTCGTGCTGCCAGGTAGCGGGCAG